CCAATTGGCCAAGCAGCAGCAGAGCTGGAGAGGGAGGGTGAGTGGCAGGGGTAGGGAGGGGGCTTTGAGTCCGTGGAGCACCCCCATGAAGCAGCCTCGGAGCAGGTAGTGTGGCTCCTCTGGCTTACCTGCACCAGGCAGAGGGGCAGCCGAGCCGGCCACGCGTCTCCCCAGGCCGGGCAGCAGTCCTGGCTGGGGCGGTTCCTGGGCCGTCCCTGGGCCACTGAGCTGTCTCCTGGGCCGGCGGGGGTGGTGGCCAGCAGGGGCTTCCTGGGCAGTTCCTGGGCCGCTGACCCAGCCACATGTCTCCCCGGGCTGGGCGGCAGTCCCGGCTGGGGCGGTATTGCTTCAGTCCCAGCGGGGCTGGCGGCTGGCGGGGCCAGCAGGGGTATTGGTTCCTGGGCTGTTCCCAGTCTGCTGAGCCGGCCACATGTCTCCCCAGGCTGGGTGGCAGTCCCGGCTGGGGTGGCGGTATCGCTTCGGTCCCGGTGGGGGCGGCAGCATCCCGGTCCAGTCCATGGTGCCCTGGGTGCCTTTCAGCGCCTTCTGCTGCCTCCTGCCCACCCCCATGCTTGGCCTTCCCGGGACCTCCACCCATTTTCCCACACCTGGAGCAGGAGAGGAAATGCTGCTTTCTGGGCATGGAAAGGGGCTTCCGCCTCCCAGTCCCCCATCCACTGGAGCGGTGGCACTCCTCTGGACTGGGACTGGGGTTGTGCAAATCGCAGCGCGCCTCCTTTCCCGCTACCCAGCCTGGCCCGGCTCGCCCTCCTGCGGCAGGCAGAGCTCGGCAGGATTTGGTCCTGGAAAGGCCCAGCCAGCTGGCCGGCTGGGAAGGCTGAGCAGCTCCCGGTGAGGGAGCTGTTCCCGCCCCGTGGCCAACTGGCCAGGAATCTCATCCGGCTCGGGGGCCGCCTGACCGCCGTGGGGATGCCGTCAGCCGCCTCCTGGCAGGCCCGCTAATTGTGGGCTCCCGGCCGGCTTCCTCTGTGAGTCAGGGACCCGGGACTCCTAATTGCACCCGGGAGAGCCCGACCGAACCCCGGGTTGACTTGCACGGCTCTGAAATGCCGCTTGCCTGAATTCTTTCTGCCTCCTGGGGGGAAGTTGCACCTCATGGCCCAATTATTATGGGTGTTATTCCAGTGTGGTCACTTAATTTGGATGCTTCTGTTGTTTTTATTGGTTTTGCTGTCATTACTCTTTTAAAAAGTTTTTAGTATTTTTAATTGTAATACATCTTTGAACTGTAATCTGCCCAGAGTCACTGAAAGGGAAAACCTGAGATATTGAGGGGAGGGGAGAGGAGAGGAGAGGAGAGGAGAGAGAGAGGAAAGAGAGAAGGAAAGAGAGAGGGAGAGAGGAAAGAAAGAAAGGGAGAGGAAAGAGAGGGAGAAGAAAGAGAGGAAGAGAAGAGAGGGAGAGAGGAAAGAGGAAAGAGAAAGAGAGAGGAAAGAGAAAGGGAGAGAGGGAGAGGAAAGATAGAAAGAGAAAGAGAGAAAAGAGAAAGGGAAGAGAGAAAGGAGAGGAAAGAGAAAGAGAGAAAGAGGAAGAGAAAGAGAGAGAGGAAAGATAGAAAGAGAGAAAGAGAGGAAAGAGAGAAAGAGAGGGAAGAGAGGGAGAGGAAAGAAAGAGAAAAAGAGGAAAGAGAAAGAGGGACAGGGAGAAAGAGAGGAAGGAGAGAAAGAGGAAAGAGAAAGGGAAGAGAGAAAGAGAGGAAAGAGAAAGGGAAGAGAGAAAGAGAGGGAGAGGAAAAAGAAAGAGAGGAAGAGGAAGAGAAAGAAAGATACAAAGAGAGAGGAAAGAAAAAGAGAGGAAAGAGAAAGGAAGAGAGAAAGAGGGAGAGGAAAGAGAAAGAGAGAGGAAGAGAAAGAGAGGAAAGATAGAGAGGGAGAGGAAAGAGAGGGAGAGGAGAGAAAGAGAGAGGAAAGCATAATCACTATGCTTTAATTATGGTCAATTCGTAACAATGAAAATACATCCTGCACATCAGATATTTCCATTACGATTCATAACAGTAGCAAAATTGCAGTTATGAAGTAGCAACAAAAATAATTTTATGGTTGGGGGTCACCACAACATGAGGAACTGTATTAAAGGGTCGCGGCATTAGGAAGGTTGAGAACCACTGGTTTAGGAGGAGGCACATTCTGATTCTCCTGCCCTTCTCTACCTGCCAAGATCATCTTTAAAATTCCTTACCTTTTCAGTTGGTAGTTGAACACATTTTCTAAAAGAGGGGAAATCACTGGTCAATACTCAGTGTAGTTGAAGAATTCAAACTATTTTAATATTAGTATATGTTTTAGTATGGAACTCCTGAGCACAATAAGAGTTTAAACATTTAGCAAGCATTAAAAAAAGTATTTATATTGTATTTGTTGTTAAACTTCAAGAGGAAATTAGTCAGGGCAGCTAGAGCTATGGTAGTTGAAGCTGCAGTTTGACATTTAGCAGGTACAGCTTAGCAAATCAGGCCCATTTTACATTTTGTTTTTATAATTAATTTGTAACCAATCACATTCAGAATCACATACTTTCTTGATGGATTACAAATGTGCTTTGTTGTGTATTGCAATCTTGCCCACAAAATATTGCTGAATATGGCATGTGTATACAAGCTGGTTTTGCAAAGGTATCATAAACTGGAAACTGAAATCTTTTAGTGCAGTGGCCCCCAACCTTTTGGGCACTAAGGACCGGTTCCATGGAGAGAGGTTTTTCCATGGACCGGAGGAGGAGTTGGTTTCACGTGCTGCCTGCATCCCACAGATGGTGCTTCATTTGTTTGCATGGCCCGGTTTCTGGCATGCTGCAGACTGGTGCCAGACCATGGACTGGGAATTGGGGACTCCAGATCTAGTGTCTTGACTAGAGTGACCAGATATACCACACAAAGAGGACATGTTCTCCTTTTTGTCCTCAAGCCTGGTATCTGGCAGGCAGAGCCTTAAAATCAAATATCTATTTCTTTTCTTTTTTTTTTTTTTTTTTAGTATTTACCAGCTATCTCTTCCTGAGAAACTCTGGCATACTACTTCTCTAATAAGTGCTAACCACAACTTTACAAATTTCACTGTAACTTTAATTAGTTACCCTAAGGTTTCTTGCACTGCTGCCTGAAATTGTAATAGTTGTAATCAGTTACATACTGAAAATTTTTGCTTCCTAACTGGCTCTAGCACATTCCTGCCATTAAAAAAACAGTCTTTCTCATGCTGGAAAAAGTAATTACATGTACATGTAATTAAAAATGTTTTTTGCAGTTTTTCCTGATAAGTTTTGTTGCAGATGCCAAGAATGTTAATCAATTAGTATGTCCTCTTTTTCTCCCATTTGTCCTTCTTTCCAATTGTCAGTGTCCTCCTTTGCTTCTTTAGATATCTGGCAACTCTATGGTTGAGTAGTCCAAACAAATTTTATCTTGACAAGGGAAGGAAATTTTATAAATCATAAATAGGATAGATTCATCTAACAATTTTTCTCCAATAGTGTCCATTGCTATTTTTGAAACAACTTTTGAAGCATACTTTACATGGAGTCCAAGACATTATTATTAAACAAACTGAAAAAAGTTGGCATTTTGTGTAACAATAGATTCCTTTCATTTCAAACTAAAATTAACTCAGTGAGGCAGTTTCTGGTGGTATATATAGAAAATGGCCATCCCATTGAGAGCTTCATATTTAGCCTATGACATTTCATAAACTTAGTGATTTACAACCATTAACTATAGATATTGCAAAATTTAGGTTTATATGCTGTCTTTTTTATAGAAAATTGACATAATTAGATATCCACAGGTCTAGGTATCTGCTTTAGCACATCAATCAATACCTACAATATGTCTTCGTTTTTGTTGAGCACCCAAACAGCTAACTCAGGGGTGTCAAACTGCCGGCCTATATGCCGGACACATCATCCGGAAGCCGTGCCCACCCCATTGCCACCAATGGCAAAACCGTCCCGATACATTGCATGACATCACGTGATGTCGCGAGTTTGACATGTCTGAGCTAACCTAACCACGTTGGAAATGGAAACAACACATCCTATCCATATAAAAAACATTGCATGTTAGGCTGTTCTTCCAGGCTTTGGGTTAGAATGACAGTAGAAAACCCTTTGGTTTTTGGTTCTGTCTCCTGGTCTACTTTTTTTTCATTGTTACGTTGCCCAGAGACCCTGTCGTGTCAAGTGAAAATAAAATGACTCCATTCAAAATAATGAATACAGGTAATCCTCGACTTATGATAATTGAGCCCAAAATTTATGCTGCTAAGAGAGAAATTTGTTAAGTGAGTTTTGTCCTATTTTAAGACCTTTGTTGCCACAATTGTTAAGTGAAACACTGCACTGTTAAATTAGTAGCATGGTTGTTAATGAATTTGGCTTCCCCAATGACTTTGGATGATTACATGTCCCCCAGGCACTGCCACTGTCATAAATATGAACCAGTTGTCAAGCATCCAAATATTAATTACATGACTGTCAGGATCAGGCTGCAACTGTCACAAGTGTGAAAACTGGTCATAAGTCACTTTTTTCAGTGCCATTGTAACTTCCGTCTCTAAATGAACTGTTGTAAGTCGAGGACTATATCTATACCTGAATGCATACTTTGGTTATGGGGCAAATGCAGCCATGCATTTTGCCTTTCTCCTATATTATTGTTGTAATTGTTATTATATTGAAACGAACTAGGATGCCTGCTTCGAAGTTCCGCTCATAGGTTCTGTCCCCATTTGGCAGTGCTCATAAACCGCCCTCGCCGGAACTTGAACGGAGTCGGGCTTTTCCGTAACACATCGTGAACCGCGAAATCACTCGAGTGTCTTCGTCGTGGCCACCCTTCCCCTCCCCCCTCCGTTTAGCATTCCCGCGCATATTCGGCGATTCCCGGAAAACCTCGTATCTTCTCCTCTTCGGACATTTCCGTAGAGGACTGCGGCTCTTTCCCTTTCTTAGAAGCGCCGGTGAGGTGCATTGTGGGAGATCGCAGTGGATCCTGGGGCGGAGGAAGGAGGAGAATTCCCCCGTCTTAGAGTCGGGCCGCCGCCGCCATCTTGTCTTGCTGTGGCCGCCGGGCCTTGGGCCTGCTGTGCGAAGGGGCCTGCGAGGTGGACGTGGTGCATCCGGCGGCCCCGCGTGGGATCCTGGAGATCCCTTTGGGGCCGCGCTGAGGACCGCCACACCGGCGTTTGCTGAGGCGCTCGGGATGGGCCGCTCCCGCTCGCGGAGTTCGTCCCACTCCAAGCGCGTCAAGAGCTCCAAGCACAACAAGAAGAACCGGAGCCGATCTCGGTCCCGTTCGCGGGAGAAAGAGCGGGCCCGCAAGCGCTCCAAGTCGCGAGAGGGCAAACGGAGTCGCCGGCGGGAGTCCCGCTCCAGGTCCCGCTCCAACACTGCGCCCTCCCGCCGCGAGCGAGATCGCGAGCGGGACCGCGCCTCCTCCCCGCCCGACCGCATCGACATCTTCGGCCGGACAGTCAGCAAGCGAAGCAGCCTGGATGAGAAGCAGAAGCGGGAGGAGGAGGAAAAAAAGGCCGAGTTCGAGCGGCAGCGGAAAATGTAAGCGGGGCCGTCTGGGCGGAGGCGGGTGGCTCCTTCTCTCCTGGCGGCTTTGGGATGAACGGGCGGCAATTTCTGAAAGGTTTGCTGGAGGCAGCTGAACGATGCAGAAATCAACATGCACATCCGCTGTTAAACTGCTGGATTAGCCTGGGGTGCTGGGTGGCAAATTTGCAGGCATAGTTGCAACTGCCAGAAAAGGTAAGTGGGAAGGAATGAAAGGATCGCGTTAGACCTGGTTATTGTTTGGATGGGCGACCACAAGGAGATCAACAAAGCTGTGGATTGGAAAAATGTCTTAGTAGGAGAGAATGTCAAACCATACTTCCATATTACTGCCTGGAAAAAACCTTGGATCTTATTTGTATACTCATCAGAAACTGAGTGACTAAATAAAATTGTTGCTTTTTTATTACTTCTTGGTACAAGATCATTTCATCATGGAATCATTTAATCATTAATATTACAATATTCTCAGGACAATTCTTAGCTATTTTGACCTGTCTCCTCCCTTTTTCTGAGAGCAATAATCAGTTTTCTAACTGCAAGCTTTGCAGTTCCTTTTTTAAAAAAAATATGATTCTGATACTTAAGTAGTAGAGTAAATTTATTTGGTCACCATGTTAAATGTATTAGTAAAGATAACTGGGGGGAGGGGCCGGAAGTAGGCTAGCTATATTCAACAAGAGTTAGCACGATCTTTCAATTTATGTTTTCAATCTGCTATTATTAAGATTAGCATTATAAAAAGGAAGTTTCAATTTCTAATCCACAGCTTTCATTTTCATTTCATTTATTTTATTTTATTTATTTTATTTGTATACTGCCATAGTCTTGAATATTAACATAAATTTTCCCTGGCTCACTCTTTGTTTTTCATAATCAATTTTGATACTTAGGGAAGTGCACTGATAATTTTTGTACAATAGCATTTTCTAATGCATAATAAACCTTGCTGAGCAGCTTCCATGAATACATTCCAGTGTTCTCTTATTGCTAAATAAATAAATAAGTGTAGTCTGAGCTGTTGTTATGAATGCACCTGTTTTTTTTATTAAAAGTTTTATAAATTTATTACAATATAAACCCTCCCATCCCTCCCCCACTTCACAGAGCTGATTACAGGGTAAAACAAAATAATAAACAAATGTAATCCAACTAACATAAACCAACTATACTATCAATCAAAACTATAAGACACTTTAACTCCTTCTCAATGCAAATATTAACAAATTAAGTCAAAAATAATAATATAATTAAAACTATTACTAATTATCTAAAATCTACTCAAAAGCAAGATAATACTTTTCAACTTCATATTTCTTCTGAATATAATCAATCCATCTTCTCCAAACCATAATATATCTTTCTTGTGAACGGTCCTTCAAGTAGGCGGAAATCTTCGCCATATCTGCTAAATTAGACACTTTAAGTATCCATTCTTCCAAAGTAGGCAACAAATTTTTCTTCCAATATTGCCCCACCAATAATCTTGCAGCTGTTTTAAGGTTCAACATCAAATTAGTTTCTTTAACATCAAAATCTACAGTAATACCCAACAAAAATAATTGTAGAGTAAACTTAATCTTTTTCTTAAAAATCTTTTGAATATTCCACCAAATCTTAATCCAAAAAACTTTAATATCTTTAATACTCAAGTGCAAAATTTGAGAGAAAATTTTTATAAAATGTTTTATAGATGGCATTTGGATCCCCAAAAGTTGTCCCGCATGTATCCGAATTTACAGCCTAAATGTTGGAGATGTGGAAACTTAGATGCAACCTATTTCCACATTTGGTGGAATGCACCTGTTTTTTTAACTTAGTGTAGAAAGGCAAGAGTTTTCTCTGTGTAAACAGTTATGTTGCTTTAGATTATATTTATAATATTGGTTTGTCAGATTCATTTTGACAGAAGGCCTACACCAGTCTTGTGATTGCAGTGGGAAGTGCAACGCTTGCATTAAAATGTCAGTTTCTATCATAACAATGAGAAGTTTGCACCCTGATTCAAACTGAAATGTGGAATATCACAGGCTTGAGATGGCCTGTTGATACTAAGTCATTAAAATTTTGAGTATCTATTTAACTAGACATCACTGGTAACAAAAGTTAATTAGCATTTTGATACTGTCAAAATCAGTGTCTGAAGATTTGAGATTACAGAGTCAGTTGGTTAAAACAAGGTTAAATATCAAAAAGGTGAAGGAAAGCAACTGACGCTTAAAAGGTAGATGGGCAACAACATTACTAGAGTGCCTGCTTTGCTTTTTATTGAGCACAGTATACTTTGAGGTATCAAAATGAATGCAATTCTATTTTTACAAAGTATCATTTAACTGAGTAATCAATAGAGGAGAATATTTGTAGTCAGGGTTGAAATGAGAGTCCTTGGTGCTTTCTGACTTTGTTTTCTTGCAGATGTTTCATTTCCCAAACTAGGTAACATCAGTGCTAGTAGGGAATGGGATCAAAGAGCACCAAGGAGCCCTAACTAGATATTTAATATGCTTCATTAAAATCTGAGGAATTTATGCTCCAGTCTAAATTTTGCTTTTATAACATAGTAAAAATTAGGAATATAAATTACATCAGTAAAATATTCCTATCTATAGCATCTACTATGTGTTCAAAAGAATTTATTCTAATATAGAACAATGTTAAAAAAGACATAAATTGCCGGTCTGCTCATGATGGGTTGATTGTTTTATTCAAGATTAAAAAAAAACATTTTAATTAATTTTTGCATTATATATGCATTTTGTTCAGCTGAATAATTGATGACTACCTTATTGTTTGATAATAATGCTTTGATAACATTTCACTGCTTGAATGAGTTCTCTGATGAATTGTCATGAAGTGCTAGATTTTAAAACTTGAGTTCTATATTATAATCTAGGAGATATAATTTATCTCTGTGAAACCTATTCTTCCATTCCATTATTCTTGCATTAGGTCTCTGAAAACAGTGCATATTTTTGGTATTATAAAATATCCGTCATTGTCTTTTGGCTTTGATAAATTTTAACAATAAATATGTTTATAAATTGTAAGGTGCTTGGTCCATCTAAAGATTTATGCAATTGCATTTGGAAAGCAATGCTTTGAATCTCATATTTCTCCTATAAATATTTTCGTTCCTAAAATTATTCCCTACTTTTTTTCTTATATAAACACTCAACACTTGCGTATTACAGTGTGTAAGCATGATGTATGCAACGGGCTATTCCTGAAGTGTGATGTAGAATTTAATTTTCTTGACATTTGAAGCTGTATATTTCTGTCCCTGTAGTCGGCAACAAGAAATAGAAGAGAAACTTATTGAAGAAGAGACCGCCAGAAGAGTGGAGGAGCTTGTAGCAAAGCGGGTGGAGGAAGAACTGGAGAAGCGGAAAGATGAAATTGAGCGGGAAGTTCTCCGCAGGGTGGAGGAGGCTAAGCGCATCATGGAAAAACAGTTGCTCGAAGAACTCGAGCGACAGAGACAAGCTGAACTTGCTGCACAAAAGGCCAGAGAGGTAACGCTCGGTCGTTTGGAAAGTAGAGACAGTCCATGGCAAAACTTTCAGTGTTGGGTTGTGCCTCCTGTTATGTTGAGAAGGAGATGGAATACAGCAAATCTAATTCCTTTCTTGTGTAAACTTGCATTGCTGCGAAACCTAATTTCTAACTTATTCAGAGGAGCTAACTGATACCTCAAACATTCTTCCAAAACCTGTGAAAGGATACTTGAATTTTAATGGAACCGGCCTACTTATTTGAGACTTGTTTGAAACTTTTGCCATGGCTGCAGGATATATCCACAGTTCTTTCTTAACTGGGGGAATGGGTTGAACAATCTGTGACTATGTATCCTTCATTTGTTTTGTTTTATTTAGACTGTAAGAGGCTTTATGCCTTCAGTCAGCAAGAAAGGAAAAAAAAAAACAAAACAGCAGGGTCCATCATTGAGCTGCAATGCCTTATCTTAAAGAAAGAGTTTTTCTTGTTTTTCCTCTAAGGCAATCATGCATTCCTCTTGACTACACAGTGGAGTAACTCTGGAACTGTGGTCCCATTCACTTTCACAAAAGGCCTATGCCAAATTCGTGAGATCCATTTTTTTACCAGTGCTACTAACAACAACTTCTTTTTCTCTAGACTAGAGAGTTGTAAAAGAGCAGGTTGTCCTTGTCTGAAGTTGAGCTAAACATGTGACTTCTTCTGTCAGCAGCTGGAGCAGAAGCTGAAAATGTCTTTCTGTGAGACAGTAATTTGCTACTGGAGGTTTTAATGCTTGTCAGCACTAATCACTCCAGGATCCCCAAATTTTAAAGTTCTTTTTAAACTTTCTAAAAAGTAGTGCTGAGTTAGACCACACTCTCCATATTTTCCTGCATTATGATTTGATTAGTTGCTTTTAATCAATTTAGTTGATAGTAGGAAAGAGTTTAATAAGATACTTTTTAATATAACACAATATGTTTAAAAAATTTTAAAAATGCATGTAATGGAAATTCATTTTAATTCTAAAAATCAAGAGTTTGGCTTTACATAAATGCTGAATTATAAAAAGATTACAAATCTTTTTGAAAATCTATAATGGATTTTGGCTGAAATCATGGTCCCTCACCATTCTAAGAGCAGATTAAATAGTAATCATTGAGTGATCACATTAGGACTTTTACTGTGGAGCATAATCTTGAATTCCTGGAGTGAAGGGTGCAAACCTGTAGCTGGTTACTACACATAGCAAGAAATATTTCTTCAAATACTTGCTTTGTTCTTATTAAACTATATTTTTGTGCAGACCTCAGGCTGTTTACAAAAACTGCCAAATATAAAATAACCTGAATATTTATTATGTTATTGAAATTACTCTTGCAATCTTTTTGCTTATGAGTTGCATAACAAAGTTTCTTTAAACTTTTATAAAAAGAAACCTAGATTTGATTTCTATATCATACTTTCAATGAACTCCTGAATACCAGTTTAAATGGTAGAAGGACAGTTTAATACTGTCTTTAAACTTGTCACACTATAGGATGTTCAGTCCATTTGCCCACAAAGGAAACCCATAGTTCTACAGAATATGGATAACCATTTGTACTTTTTGCTAACAGTAAATGTATTTTTTCTTATTAATTGTTTGCTTAGGAATGTTTTACATATTTTTTGTTCCTTCTTACCGTAAACATCTGCATTCTTCAGCTCAGCCTTCCTTGTATGTTGTTTCTTTATAAATGGTTGAGCTGCTGATGCAGGCATTGCCAAGCTAACAGTACAAATCATTTTAAAGAGGAAGCTGGCGCGTATGGCAGCCGAGGAGCACACTCTGCAGGACACTGGACAAGACAGTAAATATTCAACTTTTAATGCTGATTAAAGGAGTATAGGTAAAGAATGCGTAGGTATACATAATTGGTGAGACAAACTATTCACTTTATTTATATTTTATATATTACTCTTTTAATTTGGTAAATGCTATCCAGTTTTGTAGTTGTCCTTGTTGATTTGTGTGATATTAAAATGCTAGTAATAATTGGCTAGGATTCTCTGATTATGGAGGGTTTAGTTGGTTGCTGTTTGGATTGGGAGGGATGATATAAATTTAGAGCTAGAGACCAATTAGTGGTTGCACAGTTTGCTGTTTGAAAGACAAGAGGGTGGCTATAAAGCTGTCCCTGTTAAGTCAGTGTACAGAAGGAATTTCTAGGAAGACTAGTGCAGATGGCTAAGTGAGTATTTTACTTTTCTAACATCTTACCCTATCCTCCCGTTTAGGAGGAAGAGCGTGCAAAGCGTGAGGAACTTGAACGAATACTAGAAGAGAATAACAGAAAAATTGCAGAAGCACAAGCTAAATTGGTAAGTAAATTTTACTATAATTGAGAGAAAAAGCAGTAAATCCTGGGGGGGTATCAAGTAGGATTACTGAACATAAATTACAGGTTAAGATTTGCATAACGTCACCTATTCTTAGGCCCATCATTTGACTGAAAAATGTTTATCTCTTTGTTAGGAGGTAGTCATAATCTCTTTCTTCTCACTACCTGAAATCTGGTCTAGAAATATTGGTGAAGCCAACCACTGTACTGGTAGTCTAAATTTATCACTAGTTACAATGCACCCTTTCCCAGAATATCTTACAACCTAGATTTGCACTTCTGATGTCTTGGCTTTCCCCTGGTTACATGGTTGTATTTTGAATGTTGGGCAACTGGTCCACATTTATGAGTCATATGACTGTGATTTAGGATTTTTTTTTTTTTTTTTTTTTTGCTAGAAACTGACATTTCCAGCAAAAATTGCTCACTGGGGACAATGGGTTCACTTAATGACAGCTAAAACAATGTGGTAAAATTGGGTCGGTCATGTGTGCCTCGACTTAATGACTGTCATGCCACGCGATGGAAATTCTGAGCTTCATTACAATCATAAGTCAAGGACCACCTATACAGAAGTAAAAGTGGTCAACCGGAGATATTGCCAAGCCCCGGGCTTTTGTATTGACACCTTAAATCTATAAATGTTATCAAATTGTTAATATAATAAGAGAACATTATTAAATATGGGATTTGCTTGTATGGTTTTTTAATTTAATATCATTAAATGAAAATTAATTCAAATTTTGTTCTAGTCTCACCCAGTGTTTCTTAAAATCAGAATCTCGTGTGCAGTGTTTGAAACGCAAAAGATTTTGCCTCTGTATTTATGGATATTTTCTCCCATTGTTACAAAAACATGACTGCAATGTTTGGATTCACTTTTCTCCTTCCCTATGGCTTCTTCCTGGAAACCCTAGGCTATTTTTTATAGAAGCTGTAAAACCTGAAAGACAAATATTGAATAAAGTAATTCTTAACTTTCATGCTAGAATTATTAAGTCCTAGTTTTTAATTTGCATTAGCAACTGTATCTCAGATCAGATTATACTTGACCCTGTGGGTTGAATTCATAAATTAGGGATTTAGGAGAGATTCTCCAATGTACAAATTAATTCTAGATGGATTGGTTAAAACTGATCTTTTAACATCATTGTGGTCCTACATCATTTTAGATAGCAATCTGTTCCTGGTGGTTTTAAGCTTCATCATTTCTCAGCTACTTTTGATCTTATAATTCTAAATAGTTTTCCTAACTTTCTATTGAAACATTATTTAATCTTGCTTGCTTCTCTCAGCCTCTTTATTTTGATTGTTTTTATTCTGTGTCCTGTAAATCATCACTTCAAGTATTTTTTTAATGAAATTGTGATAGAAAACAATATGAAAATGGCTTATTTTCGTTGAGTAATCCAAAACAGTTTATGGGTGTTGCATGGATTTACACCCTTTCCCCTAATGCTAAAGAATGGAATAGCAGTCAGCTCTTCTCAACAAAGATATGCTAGTACCATATATGTAATGTTATGTAAGGTATATAAAATGTAATCTAAACTCTGTTGTTTTCTGCTTACAGGCTGAAGAACAATTGAAAATTGTTGAAGAACAAAGAAAAATTCACGAAGAGAGGATGAAACTAGAACAAGAAAGACAACGTCAACAAAAGGAAGAACAAAAAATGATCCTAGGCAAGGGAAAAACTAGACCAAAACTGTCATTCTCACTAAAGACTCAGGATTAAATTTCAGCTCCGAACTCTTAATGAAAATTGGGAAAAAAATCTTTGTATAGTAGCTTCATGTTGAAGTGGTTTTTTTTTTATTTTCTTTGGTGATTTTTTTTTCTTTTTGGACATCTGAAAAGTTAGCTTGTTCTAATAGGGGCTGTGCTCTGCATCTCTTATTTTAACGTATGTTAAGTTAAATCCTTATCAGATCATTGTCTTAAAGAATAAATTTATTCTTATCTGTTTTGATTCTGTGATAAAGTGGTTTGATGCAGATCAGGTCACTTTATAAATTATGTATGGTCTGATAAGGTTTTTACTACCCGCTGATCTCAGAGATATACTCTGATGCTAACTATTAAAGCTGGTTTTATTTTGCTGACTTTAAAAAAAGTTTGGCAAATATATTGGTAAATTCTCACAGTGTACTGGATCCTCAGTGGTTTATTATACCAGTGTCTTTTGATACTACTCCACTATTGTGCTTGATGTTCCTGATACAGGTAAGGAAAAAGTTGGTCAGTGTTGCTGGAGATGTGTAAAGGGAGTTCAGTATTGTCTCTACTAGAATTGTTTTTATTCCACTGATAAAACTCAACCAGCATTCCCAATTGTGTAAATAAACCAATTTGCTGAATAAAATGAAATCTTAAATTCATGTGTTTTAAGTAAATTTTTTAGTGCATGTATATTTTATGCTAATAAAACTTATTTTCCCCAAATCAGGCACACATTGGAATTAAGTTCACCAACATTTTTCATACTTTCAGAGCCAAGATTGCACTACAGGTTGAAATTATTGTCCTGTTAAGTGGCTCTTGCTGGCTTAATGATGGTTTTTACACTGATGGGGCACTTGTTTCAACTGTGGATTTGCTGTCTTTTTGGCAAGGATCTTGATAGATCTTATTTCCTTACATAATAAAATTGTGGACTTCATACTCGGCTCAGTTTCAAAACGAATTGCCATGGAGCATTATGGAGTTCTGTTTGAGGACAGCTTTGGTCTTATAATTAGTTTGATAGGTTTCGGATCCCCAGCCTGAACATGATGGCAAGTAAAACTGGCCACATAGTTTAAAAAACGGGCATCAAACTTGCTGTGTCATGTCACGTGCCGCGACAGATCACGACTTTTTTTGCATTGTTGGAGTTGGGGTGGGCGTGGCCTCCGCATGATGCAACTGGCCTACGGGCCGGCAGTTTGACACCCCTGGTTTAAAACAATCTATTAAGCGTACTCCACTTTTACGATCCTGTAATCCATTAATTCGGCACTGTACTCCTGAAAATATTCACAAGTACTTTTGGGCACAACTGTTCATTACAGTAATTTTGTAACTTTTTTTGCCAATGTTGTAAGATTAAATGAAGATTAAGTTTGCAAGTAATTGCTAGTCTTTCTAGATGCAACACTTGCAAGCTGCTTGTTTTCGGCAGTTCCCTGAATTCTTTTTCACATGTAGGTTGAACTTTGTCATGTACTATTTCTTCTAAAATTACAGCATCCTTAATGTTCTTATTCCAGTATTTAAATCAAAATATCAACATTCAGTTTTGTTTTTATGTAACATCAATTGTATCAAGTTTCCAGTATGTGGCACACATTGAGCAGACTCCTGTTTTGCTTGCACAAAGTACGGAATGATAGATCATGAAGTATATAGTCGAACAGTCGGTATCTCTGAGAATGTTTTTAATAAATTAATATTGCTGTGACCTTTGTGCTGTTCTTAATTTAATCAGACTAAAATAAAGTAATAAAGCCTGGGAGTTTCAGATTATTTCAAATCTCATTAGATTTTTTAAAATTAATTGCTCTGATGCGGTAACTAGAAGCATTCCTTTGGAAGAGACAGTTTGAAATTATGGCTATCTAAGTGTACTTGGCATTTTCAAATCTTGATCTCAGATATAAGCATACAGCTTATATCAAATAAATTGTTATATTAAATGAATTGGATCCAAGTTTGCTTTTGCCAAAGCACATTCTCTGAAGCGTAGATTACATCTGTGTGCATCTTGTACATATTCAGAGGATTCTGGAACCTGGATCAAATTTTCACAGGTCAAGGCAATCTCAAAGAAAGAATCAATTAGGAATCAATCATCAACCCTAAATCAAAAGTCTGGAAAGCATGATGTGGATTGAAGTATTTTTATTAATTTTGAAAGTGGTGTCTCCCTATTTATAAGAGTCTAGTTTTTCATTTGGGAAGTGCACTTTTTAATATATATATATTTGCCTTATAATTGTAGTAGTATATAGAAGTCCATATGTCTCTGAGGAAGTTTTTTGCCTGTTTTGCTTTGCTAAGACTTTCGCTGTTTTATTTGCCCTAAAAATCCCATCACTAAAAATGAGTGCAGTTTATTATCAGATGTAAGATCTTGAATGCTCTGGGTTGTGCTTGACCTTGAGGAGACGGAAGGCTTGGTGTTGCTGATGCCAGCATACAGGCTGTCAAAAAGAAAAATACTGCATACTATTTATTCTATCTGGGGCCACCTTTGATAAGTGCCTTAAAGTTGATGCAAATGGAAAGTTGCTAGTAGATGAAAGCTGCCAGGAAAATATAGCGCCAGTTGTAGGGATGCTGATTAACTTCCAGTAAGGACTTTGTGCATAGAACTGACCTGGTGCATTCATCTCAGATGGAAATGTGGAAAGTACCACAATATTTTGGAGGAGGATGTACATGCTATACCTTACCTTGGAGATCTGAATGGTGCCTTCCCTGATGGTATTCAGAAGGACCATTGGAACGGTTCTTTCACAGCCCCCTAATAAAAATGTTATTAATTGGCTTTTAAAGAGTTGAAATATCACTTAATAAAGATGCTGGAGTTAAGTTGTAATGTGGAGTTGGTTATAATTTTTATGAGGTTTTTTTTTAATTCATGGGGTCTTTGTAGCGTTGGCAATACAGAATATGGATATTATAAATAAATGCTAAGTTGTAAAATAAAATGGATACCTGTTAAAAAAGGGAGCAAGAACTGGAAATAGTAATAGTAATGAACAAAACTTCACAACAGCGGCTCTCTCTGTGTATACACATAAACACATACATTATACACACATACAAATGCTGCTGTTGTGAAAGTTTTCCAGTTCTGGCTCCCTTTTTTAACAAGTATCCATTTTATTTTACAACTTTTTTATTTTCTACAACTACGTCGGTCTTAATTGTAGGAAACGATCCTGAACTGATTGGGAATTTAATCACTTTTGCTAATAAGCACTCGTATGCTGCTCAGCATAAAAGCTTTAATTCAGCACAAATATTTTAACGGAAATCACCTGTTAGCAATGCCCCAAATAAAATATATGGAAAATAAATTAATACATCTTGATCAAACTGCAACAAAAAGCTTAGACGTCCCCAATTCTTCCTATAGTTCCTTAAGATACTCCATAAGAACAGCCTCGGTAAGCCTGCCGAAGTATAACTGGTGTTTCCAGCTATACTGCAAAAGCAGCAGTGAAGAAACGGGGCCAACAGGCTGAACTTGAGGTATAACTGGTGCTCAGGTGTGATTCATTCAGAATTATGTTTTGTAACTGGCTGTCTAATAAAACCATATCTTCATAGACAAGGAGAAGTTCCATTCTGTGATTAATATTCTTCACTAAGTGTACATAACAAGCATGCTGCTTGTTTCTAAAGCTTTCCTGCTACCAGGAAAGATGGTGTTGATTTAATTTTCAATTAGGTTGCCGAATCTCTGAAACTAAGTCATTCTGATTCCCATTTTTATTGCAGATTCACTAGATCTCTTATATTTTCTTCCATATACAAGGGGACAACTTCAGTTTTGCACTAAAGCAAACTGTTCAGAATTTACCCACATCTCATCCTGTTTATACATGTAACAAAAATTTCTAATTTTGGTTTTGCTGCTAGGCCCAAAATGTCAAATTTGGAAAATGTAACATTTTTATTACTCGATTTAGACTCTTTTTTGTTTAATATGGTGTCAACTGCCGATTTTTTTTTTCTAAAAATGCTGAGCATATGGAACAGGCTGTCTAACTAGAAGAGGAAAGGGTTACAGTTACCAGTTTCTGGTGTGGCATCCTGAGTCATTCCAATTTGAAGTATTGCTGCCTGTGAAGCTTTTGCCCCAACCAACTAAATTTCCTGGAAGGACATTGTCAGGACAGTCACTTTATGGGAAAGAGAGAGAAAAAGAAGCGGCTTTTGTCCAGAAGATTATTTTTGTGAGGTTTCTGCCACTGACCTTCGCTTTATTTCCTTCCTTGCATGTGACTATTCTCAGCAGCTGAGGAAATGGTGACAAAGCTTCAAGTTCAATTTGGAAGGCTTTTTCTTGTGCCTTGCTTGAACTAAAGTCAAGAGGAATAATTCTTTAGTTGGGGTTTAACTCCATGCTTTTAAGTTCATCCTGACAAAACTGAAACTGTCTGATGAAAAGATGGAATTCTTTGCATCTCTGGAGCCAGTCCAAATGCAACTTGATTCCTAGAGTAATTCCATTTTAGGTTTGGCCAAGACTTTCTGGTTAAGAGCCCAGTGCCAGCAAGAATTCCTGGAAGCAAGATCCTGGGGACAATCCCTTGGAAGTCAAACCAAATCATCCCAGTCTGCAACCCAAGGCCTGTTTACTTATCCAGACACAAATGGTCTTATTGTCACCAAGGCAGAGATTTTATTTCCAATTTAAACCACAAGAGACTTTCAAAGATCCAGAAGATTGAATATATCCAAATGGGGAGGGGGAAACACCCCCACTCCCCAAAACGGTGCTTTTCCCTTAGGACAAGACCTTCCTCTCTCCTTAAAAGGGAGACCTGCCCTAAGCTAATTGCCCTTTGTTCCCAGAGGGAGTAGTTTTGCAAAAGAAAAAGCTGGTTGCCGCTCACAAGTCAATTTGTTCAAACCGTCTTCCTCTTTTTATACTCCTCAATCCGGCTGGATCTCGTCAGACCTTTTTTGTTGTACCGTAAAAACCTTGGCGAGGTAGACGAGCTTTAGAGAGAGCGCACGAAGCTTCCCCAACCTAGAAATTAAAGTCCAAAGTTGGAGGCTTCGCGCCTCTCCGTTTCGCTGCTGCTCCTTTGTCGGTTCTCTTCCTCTGCCCCCCCCCCCCCACGCAGGCCTCGCGTGGCGGGCTCGATCCCTTCGCTCGCTTCTAGGCTAGAGAAATCAGAGCAATTGTTGCCAGTAGCCCAGGCCTCCTTATCCCGAAGCGGATGGAGAATCAATCACCCGTTCTCGGTCTAGGCAGCCGCAGCGGTAGGCCCCTCTCGCTTCCTACCGCCAGGACAGAGCTTTAGGCAATCCTCGCCGTCGCCCATTTCTTTGGCAATAAGCCCTAGTGATGAGCCAGACTTGGTCCTGCAAAAATCTGCTCGGGGGATTGTGGTCAGGACCTTAAAAAAAAATAAAAAATAAATCAGTTGCTTAGGGCTACTAGAGTGGGGCTGTACAAATCCGAACGATCCCCCCCAACCCTTTCCCCCACCCCAGGAAGAAAAGGTTAGAGATGCCTGTACGTTTCTGCTGCCATCTAGTGGTCGACCGGATTTTTGGCAGCCCAGATCCGGTAACTCTAATCTTCCGTTTCCCGCGTTTCTGATCGAGGCGCCTTGAAATGCGCAAACCTTAAGAGTTCATTTGTGCTGTCGCTGAGGAAGGGAGGGGGGACGTCCGAAAAAGAAGTGAAGTGGCCAAGGAAGTGATTCCGTCCTTCTCAAGCTTTCGCTCACACGCCATTCAGCAACCAGGCCCCGGCAGCCGCACCCAGATCTATTCAAAGGAAGATTTAGCGAAAGCGCTCCGAAATCGTGAAAGAAGAGAGTCCGTAGTTTGGGAAGACCAGCCCCATCCACCCCTCCGTTTTTAAAATGCTTCTCCTAGGTATCTTCTAGGGCGCCCTACCTGGGAACGTCGGGCCGTCCCTTGCTGCAACTATCGAGGACTTCGGCCTGGGCTCCCTGAGCGGGTTGGGCCAAAAGCCGATCCTCTGCACGGTTCCTCGGGAGAAGCCACCTCGAGACGCCCAAGCAGCTGCGGAGCGACTCTTCCAAGAACCGCCACCCCCATCTAGGATCGCTGAGTACACACCTGCCCTCCCCTCCCCCACGTCCTGCCAATCCTGAGCAGAGTTCCTGGGCCTTGTCGCACCGCTGCTCCACAACGGCCAAAGGACTCCTGGAGCCACCTCGGTATCGGTTGTCCAGCTCAGCAAATTAGATCGGATCCAATAGATCGGGACAGGGGAGGAACGCCGAATTTCCAGGCACCGTCTTCCTGAATGAATAAACGTCAGAAAAAGTTGAAAATCCTTTAAAAGCATTTTTTTTTTCCAATTCTTCCAAATATTCTGGGGAAGTTCTTCTTGGGGCTAAAGTGGTTGGCTTCACTTTGTTCGTTTCCTCCCCCCGCCCCCCCCCATCCTCAAGGTGGTTATTTCCAGATGTGCTCTTCTCCCAGCTGGCGAAGCCGCTCAAGTTGAAGCCGCTCGAGGTTCTTGTAGGGCTCCAGAGGCGCCTGTCTCAGAAGGGCGACTTGCCCGACTTTCTTCTCGGATGGGGCTCCGAGCCTCTCGGACGGAGCGCCACTTCTTTTTGGAAAAGGTAACTTGGACTTACCGAAGTACAAAGCTTGTCTCCCTTCCCCACACCTTCCCGCTCTTCTGCTTCTCTTCGCATCTGGGGCTTGGTTTTGCAGCACTGAACTCCAGGGGGGCACAGAGGATCGTCCTCCCCCCGAGAAACTATTTGGGTTGGTCAGGGACATCGAATCAGTCCACTTCGAGGACGTCAATTTTGTGCGAGTGTCCCAGGAAAGAGCAGATTCCAGCCACCCCATTTCGGTGACTGCGGGAGACGGTGCCAAACCTGGAGCTGCGAAATCGGAGTCACTCGGTTTTGCAAGTGGGACTTTCACTCGGCTTTTTTTTTTTTTTTTTTTAAAAAGAATTTCCTCCTCTAAATAAACGAGTAAAAATCCCAGAAATTTAAACCCAGTTTTCTCCTGAAATTATTAATCCGCTCCGGTTGTGATGATTTCCTGGTATCATTTTGTTTAAGCGCAAAAACGCTAAGTTTTAATAATGGGAGGAGAATAAAATTCTGCGTAGATTTGACATTTATTTTCTAGCCGCTTTGTTCCCTGTGGTTAAGCCAATATTTAAAAGTGTTTTCTGCTTCTCAGTCCGAAATAATTTCTTTTTTACGTCATTGCATTTATTTTTAAATAGGTATTTTTCGAACAAAGCTTTAATGTCTAATCGTATACTTGAGGTATCACATATTCTTCTAATATCGCCGCAAAATTATTTTTATGATTATCTTTCTTGAAATCCACATCATTTTAGATAATTTCGAATTCCTACCTTTCCACTACTCAAACCTTCAATTAAAACGTTTATAATTCATAACATATGGGCTATATCTAGTTTTAGCCAGATTTTAATTTGCGCTCGTTTACTTTGGCTACCTGCCGATTAGACAGTTCAGATCGAAAGCAAGCATTTCACCCCTAATTCCTAAACGGATTCAATCTCTTAAAAAGTCCCGTTAACAACGACGATGATTTCAACAACAAAAACAACAAAACTCCAGTTTGACTTCAAGGCGAAGTTTTCCGAAGATCGCCAAAACGAAGGTAAAATAAGCAGCGGTTTTCATCGCCTCCGCTAGTGGGCGCTGTAGCTCTATGATATTACACACAGCCGGCTACAGGCTAAGAACGTAGCGATTGGTTTTTATAAAGCGAGACCTGCCGCGCTAGCGCGTCCTTTTAATTTCAGGACTCGGCTCCAAACTTTGTCGCGGGCCTCCCTTCCAATGAATTCTTGGCCCGTTTGGGCCCGGCAACCGAACCCAACCGCGCCGCCCATGAAGCCCCCAGTGACAGGGGTTGGAAGGCCGTCTGCCAAGCGACCCCACGAGCGGGCGCAAAAGAGATACAGAAGCGCTGCGCGGGAGAACTGCGCCTTCAGCTCGAAAGCCAGAATACTTTGCGCCGCTCGGCGCCCCTCTTGTAGTAAAGAATTTGGGCAAGTAGCAGGATTGCAGCGGGCGAGTTTATCGAGCCTGGCGTCGCAAGCGAGCCACAGGGCAAAGGGTTCAAATGCACCCCTCCTTCCGGCGCGCTCCTTATTGCCAGCAGTTGAGTCCGCAAGGAACTTTCCAGGGCTACGATCTGTCGTCTGTAACTCGAACCTAAAGAGTCGCGGGGTCGGCGGTCAGAGGCCACCTGCTTTTCAGGCAGGAGAAATAAGGCGAAGGCGGCCGCAAAGTTGGGGTGTTCCGAAGGACGCTCTTCCCTTTCGTGCTAGCAAGCTGGGCGGGGAACGAGAGCAGTGCGAGACGCTCCTTGCGTCCAATCCTTAAGAAACACACCTGAGCCCAGCTGGGGAGCAGCGCTGGCCTTCTCGGCCCCCAGAGCGACACCCTCGCGGAGCGGCTCGGGCTGCAGGACAGGGCGCGTTACCTGTCCCTCCCTCCCCCTCTTTTCCCCGCGCCGGCCCCGCCCCTTTCGAAGGTGGGCTCCGCTTCTGGGCGTAAGTGACAGAGGCGCCACCCAACCAGCGCAAGAGTTGCTGGAGAAGGGGGGTGGCTGGGTTTATAATGAGGAGGCAGGGCGCGGGAGCGGCGACTCGGAGCTTCACTCTCTCGTTTGGAGTCTAAGAGGAGACCGCGGCAGGAAGCCCGGCAGCCGGCAAGACGCGGTCGAGCGAGCCTTGAACCAGAGGAGCAAGAGGGCGGCGGCGGCGGGGGAGGGGAAGGGGAAGGGAAGCGGCGTCGGCGGAGAGAAAAGGCAGCGGCCGCTCTGTGTGGCCCCAGTGACGGCGGCGAATGTAAAGTCGAGGGCCGCCTGCCTGCCTGGCCTTTCGTTCCGTCTTCGCTTCCTTGCCGTGTCGTTGTCGTCGGCGGTGCGGGCGCTGGGAGCCCGCCGGGGGCATCTCTGCCTTTGCCGGGCTCGCCCCGCGGAAGAGGGGACGAAAAGCCTTTGGACGCAGGAATAAGCAGCCTCTTTTCGGCGGCCGGGAGGGCGATGGAACCCCGCGGATCTGCCGCCGGACGGCACCGGCTACCTCGCTTTCTCCGGGTGGATTTATAGAAGGGGCGAAGAAACTGCGGGCGCCGCCGGGGAATTAATTGGGCGTCCTCGCTCGGTTTTTTCCTTCGCACTGAGCCTGGTGGCCGGCGGCTGCGAGGTGGGAGCAGCTGAGCGCAGCGGCAGTAGAACTGAGCGACGGGCGGTGCTTTTCGTCGTCGTGTTCCTGGATTGCGATTCCATGCCGGCGGCCGTGCGCTCGACGACTTAAGCCAGGAGGGCGAGCTCGTTGGCTGCCCGGGATTTGCCTCTGGTTGTGGCTCCTTCGTGTGGGGGGATTGTGGACGTCCCCGCTCTCCCGGGCGCCGCGGAGTTGGCGAACCTTTGGGGCAGGACCCGCCGGCGGCGCCCCCGACCATGGTAGCGCGCCGGGAGGGATCCCCGCTCGGGAGGTGCTGCTGGGGGATCTGGGTGCTTTTGTGCCGGACGGCGCTGGCCAGCTCTCTGGTGCTGGAGCCCATCTACTGGAACTCCTCCAACTCCAAGTAAGTACCCGGGGAGGCTCGCTTCCTCCCCAGCCCCGGCGAAGGCGGGTAAGGCGAGGGCAGCCTCGCTCTCTAACGCGGCCAGGCCCTTTAGGCAGGCCGCAGCGTTGCCATCCGAGCGAGCTGCGGACTGCAAATGGGTCGCAGATCTGGCCAGCCCTCCATCGGAGAGGCCGGCGAATCGGGACTGCCGACTGGAGCAAAATGGGGAAGGAGCCGCAGTTGAGTCCTTGACCTTCCTCTCCTAGGTGGGCACTTCGGCGGCTGAGCCTCTCGAGTTGCGGGAAGGTGGGGGGGGGGCGGCTGTCTCGAAGCATCGTGCCGCGATCTTTATTTTGCCCGCTTCGCTGCATCGGTGGGAGCGACATTCCGCTGCTTTAGAAGCGAAACGCGGAGCGTCTCTTGACCGCGACCCGCATCCTGGTCTCGAGGCTTTCCTTGAAAAGAATGGAGCCCAGCGAAATGCGCTGGGTCGGAATAATTGGTTGGGCGAGGAGGGCGACAAATGACGGGCTGAGGGTCCGAAGCTTTCTGGCCATGCAGAGTGTTAGTAGCAGGCCTGGTTTGTGCGATTGGCAGAAATGTAGGTCCTTTGTGGGCAGACTTGTCATCCCTTTTCCAGGATTTCAGCCTGTTGAGGAAGGGACATGTGTGAAAGAGTGGGAAGGGATTGAAGAGACCAGCTTCAGTTTGCCCTTCTTTGTAGACCCAGGTAAAGGCTCCCAGGTTTAATCAAGGCTCATTCTAATGTTGCCAGCAGAAACCAGGCCATGATGTTGGGGAAGACGTCTGCCTAGCCAAATGTTTTCCCACTGCTAGTCTTCAGAGATCGAAGCAGAACTAAGATAATAGGCACCCCAGAAAAGGTTGGGAAAGAGTTGATGCAAAGAATTAAAAAGTAGCATGTGGTGGGAGTTTCTAACTTAAGTCTAGTGGATTTAGACATCTCCCCTCCCCCATAAAGCTTCTGGGATAAACTTCTGGAATCCAGAGAGATCAGAATTTCCTACCAAATGATATAATGATGAAGTATAATACTGTAATAACATGCTTATGTAAGGAGTTTATTCTTAGTATAAAGGGGGACAAAGAATTTGATATTTCTTCCTGCGAATAATTAAGCCTGGTTAACTTTTGCAGTCTAAGAAACCATTATTTGAGTTGAATTTCTGTGTTTTGTTTCTAAAAGAAATGTAGGGGAAATTAAATTCTCTTCTTGAGAAAACATTTTTTTTTAAAAGCCACATTAATCTCCATGATTTCTAGCAAGTGGTTTATTTGAAAATGTTTAGAGTGAGATTCGCTTCTGTGCATAACCTCCTAAACTTGCTGGGCGTGAACAGACTACACTTTTCTCTGTAAAATAATCCAGCTGGATTGGAACAGTCTTTCTCACAAGTGTGAAATAGTTTATGAGTTGGGTATACTACTTGCAGCTAAAATAAACACATTTGAATGTGTCTTCACATTCTTCACACTTTGAAGTCTAACAGAAAAAAGTTTAGTTAAGATATTATGTTCAAAAATTAAACATTTTCTGATGTCCATCACTTTTCTCCCACCCTGCTATTGATTCTGGCCATTCCCCTCTTTTCCCCAAAGTTTTTTTTTTTTTTTTTTTTGTCCAAAGCGGCCCTGATAATATAGTTAGTTAAAAATTCAGTTAAGTCTGATTAAATGAAGAATGACTCTTTTATTTTCATTAAAATGTGGAAAACTGCCCTACCCTTTGTAGGATCATTAAATGCTTCTCCTGGTTCAGTAACACTTTCTTTCCTGAGATAGATGTACACTCTCATTACTGCTAGAGAGAGATGCCAAGAGCTTATTTTAGCGTACTCTCTGTAACTTAAAAAATATTTCAATTAAACTCCGTTTAAACCAGAAAAGAAATCTGCCTCAAAGAATTGATAGAGTTTATTTGAAGTTCTTGTGCGAATGTGTGTAACTGCATGTTGAAGTGGAGAAGTTGTATATAACACTGTTAAGATTAGTCCTAGGGGGAAAAAAGCGTGTTCTCCCACCTTTAGCTGCAGTCTAGTGATTGCATTTTTCCTACAGAGGTCACTCTTCCAGTGCATAAAAGCCCACTTAGCTGTGCTGTAGTCCTTCTCCCTTCAGTTTCCAGGGTTTGCTTGCCTACGTGCTATATCTCCCTACTCCTTAAGCAAGGGTTCATTTTAGCTATCAAATGATTTACTTGACCATTTATAATAGAGGGACCTTGTCATCAAACTGATTATTCGATTTTACTAGATAGAAATATTATCAACAGCAAGTTAACTTATAATTTAATTAGCAGCACTCTCTTCACCACTTAAATGCAGCATTTTGAATAAGTAGTGCTCAGTGATAGGATTGAAATATATTGGTATTAATTATTCAGGCTTGTTCACCTTTCTGAGGTAGCATCTGTAAATGGCCTGCACTTTGGATAAATGCATTAGTAACCCTACCCGGTGTGAAATGAGTCCGATTGTCACTTTTAATCAACATATTGTATATCTGGGTGCTTTTCTGTTCTGAGCCTGAAGGGTAGCATTTTATTCCTTAAAAGAAAGGAAAGATATTTATAGAGAAATTTTTCTTTTTCTTCCCTTGTCTCCAATGACATGCTACTTAGAAGTCCCTGGATCCAATGTTGAATATAAAGTTGCAGTCATAAACACACTTTTCATGTGTTTACAGCAGAATGGGTTTTACTTCTGAGTAACCGCGCATAGAATTGCATTGTAATGCTATTTCATAGTTTAAAGACATAATTATATAATTGATATTAAGCCCTTTTAGCTCAGGGTGAAAGCTTATTATAACTTAGAAATCTGTTATCCTGAAAGTGATTCGGTAGAGACTTTGTCAAGACTGGATCCTACTAAATGGGAGGTATTGCCATAGAAGGTGAACCAGCATTTTCTCACAACCTGATTTCCCAAATTCCAGTTCTGTGATTTATTTTGGTAACCAACATATTTAACAGTGGTTAGGAAAGAAAAATAAGGAGGCTGTCAGTTGAGACTTTCATATTAATGTTCCAGCTGTGGCTTAATGCCTTTGTCATAAAAATGCCCTATGCTTTTTTTTTTAAAGTCAGTAAGGGATATCACATACGTTGTGCTTTGTTCTCAGATTTTCTTTGTAGGCGATTTCTGTGGTCTTCTCAATCATTTAGAAAACTAGATACAAAGACAAGATAAGCTCCTGTATAACTCTAGTGACAGAATGAAGAAATTTCTTCCTGCCAACAAAAATACATTGCCTTGCGTATCTTGATTTTTAAAAAAAAATCTTTGTAGCCAGTAGGGTGATTTCCCAATTACATATAAATCCCAAACTGAAGTTTTATTAGGTGAGTTTCAGAGTGAAGGGCAGACACATTTACTTATCAATGAAGTTACTTAAATTTCTCCTTTCTTGTGTAGAGAAGTTGTGTCAGCCAAACATTCTGCCAATGGTGGAACTCTTCTCTTTAACGAGATGTAATTTGACTAAGGAAAAGCAAACAAATAGCCAAACAGTATCCCGATAACCTATTACACATAAAATCTGTAGCAGTTAGCCTGAATAAACATCAGCCTGTCAGAGACTGATAAAATGGCCTACAATTGATGGGCCCATTTAAGCTGTCTCTTCAGTAGCGTAAACCAGCCTGCCTCTCATTGTTTGTTTGTGAAATTCTTATTCTTGTTTTCTCGTAGGCAAACAAATGCACATTCACAGCTGAATGAATAGCTCCTTGAACTGTGCTCTGCAATTTACTTTGGGTTAATCTTGTCGGTTTTAATACAGAGAAGAGGAAAGTGGGGGAATCATAGGGGGGAATTGTGAGTGCCTTCACATCACCATTTCTTGCATTTTGCCAGGATGATAAACTACTTGTAACCGACAGCCTTGTTTCATAAGGATACAAAAGCTATCGTAACAA